GCAACTGCCATGTGATTGGTTGATTAGATAATTGCATTAATGAGAAATTGAACAGGTGTTCCTAATAATCCTTTAGGTGAGTGTATAATTACAAGAAAGTGCTTGTCATATTCAAGTGGGGGGGGATCTCCTGATTATAGAAACTCAATTTTCCTACCTCATTTATTCAACTTTCACTTGGCAACAATAACAATGTTACTGCTTCATTGTGCATAAATTATTTTGCTTGTCTAGAACTTTTGAGGTGGATCAGTGGGTGGCACAGTTGCCTCATGCCTGCATAACTGTGGATTTAAGTCTCACCCGGAACTAGGTGTAGTTCTAGATTATTTTCAGCAGAGGGCCATCAGCGGGTCATCCAAAGAGGAAACGTGAACTTTTTTTTAATAAAAGGTGGGGGGTGGTGGTGGGGGGGAAGCATGAAAAATTTTCCCATAAATTCTAGGATAATTATGGCTGCAGTGTCACTCATGTTTTATATTCAGAGAAGTTATAGTAAAATATATTTTGTTAATTTCTTCTAATCTTAGACTAATCTTAGTATGCATTCAGTACAATGGTCCAGACTTGGCTTCAAACTATTCTGCAGTTTCCATGTGAACTACTTACCTGTCTAATGAATTTCTCTGTGTGAGGTGTGTGTTTTTTTTCTTTTTTCCACAGAAGTATTGCTTCCAATTATGCATACATCTTTCACGTTGAGTGGAAGTTGCTCTCCAGTTTCTAAATTCTACAGTACCAGAACAGTGGAAATTGTTATAGGGATATAACTACTGTAGAATATCACAAACACAACAAAGAGCATGCAGTTACTTTAAAGTTAACATTAATTCACTACATAAAAACTTTTTAGATGCACTTTAATAATGAAGAAAGGAAAGTGGAGAGTTAATTAAAAACAAAACTGTTGATGATTTGAGTTTATCCTCTGAAAGACAGTTTGCTTGTAATAACTCTTGCTGAAGAGCTTTCATCGACAGTTTAGCTAGTTACCTGTTGGCACCCTAATTTTAACTGAGACAATCATATTTACAGACCTACCAAACCTACACAAATGAAAACACACAAATACAAATATATTCACGTAATTGTGGGAACTTCTTGAAGAATCATAGTTGTGATGATGGTGTGCTTGAGAATTCTGCGCTTCGCATTTTATAATGCACATCCATCAGAGCCAATGAAAATTCAGGGGGTGCCCCCTGTGCCCTTCCTACACCAACCAGTGCGCACAGAGGCCCCCCGCATCACCGCACACAGTAACCCCCCCCCCACGTCGGCTCGCACAGCCCCCACCCCCTTGCATCCATGCGCACAGAAGCCCCCACGTCAGTACGCACGTGTCACACTGAAGCCTCTGCTCTTCTGCACAGAGATGGCGGAAGCTCACCAGGCTGTGGCGTTCCAGTTTACCGTCACGCCAGAGGGCATCAACCTGCAGCTGTCCTACCAGGCTCTCACCCAGATCTACCTTTCTGGCCTGCGCTCCTGGAAGAAGAGGCTGATCCGTGTCAAGGTGAGTGCTGTCCCTCCAGAGCTCCTCCAATGATCTTTCAGGCGTTTGTTTTTTTTGGGCGGGGTGGGATTCTGCTCATGTACTGTGACTTCAAAGAGTGATTCTGAGATAGGTAGCAGCCTGACTGAGGTTCTTGTCTGCTTAGGGCTGCATTAGTCACAGTACACTTGTAACGATAATCCTGCGTGTGGCTTCGCCAATCAAACTGCAAATGTTCAGGACACCAAAGACATTTATGATATTCAAATCTGGAGTCTGTAGACTCTTGTCATTTGTGATATTATTTCCTTTGCTTGTGTTGCTGGGTATTTAGTGCACATTATTGTGTTTTGTGTTCTCTAGTTTCAGGGAGAACCCAAGAAAACGTCTACAGTAACATCTGTTTTTTCCATGTGATCGTACTTTAATACCTGCTTTATAGCCATAAGACCATGTAATATCACAATTATCTTCTCTCAAAAAAAGCATTTGCTAGTTAGATTTGTCTACCAACCCCGTGGTATTTTTATTGCAGATAACAAACCATTTGATCCTGAGTTTTCATGCTTGTATCTTTATTAGCGAAAGTAATCCCAAACAGTGAATGTCTCGATGTACCGTGAGGCCTGTTCCACTCCAAAACCTCCTACGGCAGCAAGACACGTACCTGTCAGCTGTTCTCTCTCTCTCTCTCTCTCCTACGGCAGCAAGACACGTACCTGTCAGCTGTTCTCTCTCTCTCCTAACAGAACAGCGTGATCAGGGGGCTGTACCCTGCCAGTCCGTCCTCCTGGCTCTTCGTGGTCGTCGCCATCCTGGCCACCATGTACACGCGCTCTGATCCCTCCATGGGCCTAATCGCCAAAATCCAGGAGCACCTGCCCGTGAGGTATAACCCTGTCTGCTCATTTATTCATATTCTAATTAAGCTCTCATCGGCTGCTTTAACAAAATTCACAGGACCATGAATAAGGCACATACTCTCTGCATAAACATATAATTTCTAAAGTTTTAAAAAATTCACAAAACATTAAAACTGTCTAGACAAGGATAGGGATGGGTACCAAAACTCAGTATTAAATGGGCCCCAGGGCTTAATTATTAAAGACCATATTATGAATAAGCTCTAATATTATCTGTTCTGTTTTTGGCACTGGAGAAATGAAGAAAATTACAGTGCCCTCCACAATTATTGGTACCCCTTGTAAAAATTTGTAAAAAGGGTTAGAAAAAAATCCACCTTTTGGAGAAGCAGCTTCATGTCACACTGAAAAATTGAGAAAAATCCAGCCTTTATTCCAATTTATTCCAAGAAAAAAAAAAATCCTTCATCAAGAAATAATTTCTTTAACAAAAACACATGTGCCACGATTATTGGCACTCCTGGAAATTATAGTGAACACAGTGTAACTGAAGCATGTTGCCCCTGTAAATTGTGCATCTTTGAGTTGAGTGGGGTGAATAAGAACCTTCAAGCTGTAATCCATGACTTCCTGGTTAACAGGAATACAAACATGAGGTGATATAGAGCCCAAATTCTCTTAGTCATCCATCAACATGAGAAAGATAAGAGAACATACAAACCAAATGAGGGAGAAGTGTGTTGACCTTCATAAGTCAGGGAATGGGTATTTAAAAATAGCTACTCGCGTTAAAATGCCCATTTCTACTGTTAGGGCAATAATTTAAAAAGTGGACAACAACTGGAACTGTTACAAACCGGCCTGGAAAGGAACCCAAGTTTATTTTTCCCCCACATACAGTTAGGAGGATCATAAGAGAGGCAAAAAAAGGATGACTGTTGGTGAATTACAAGACCACATAAAATCTTGAGGTTTCCACGTCTCAGAAAAAACTTCATGCTAACAGATTACCGTATTTGGAAGGTATGACAGAAAAAGCTTTTTTTTTTTTTTTCCCCAGTTAACCACAAACGTAAGCACCTAGAGTTTGTGAAACACTACTACAACTTTTACTGGAACCAAATTCAATGGTCTGATGAAACATAAATGGACCTTTTTGGCAATAAACATAAAGTGGGTTTGGCGTAAAAAGATGGATGGCCAGGGGCGGATTAACGCACAGGCTAGATATGGCTTAAGCCTAGGGGCCCCATGTGTGCCAGCCTGCAAGGGGACCCCCATTGGGACCCCCAAAATGTTTTGATTTTTGTCTTTTTTCCAGTGTGATATGAAACTACTTCACCAAATCTTTTTTTTTGGATTTTTTTCTAGCCCTTTATACAAATCTTTACAAGGGGTGCCCATAACTGTGAAGGGCACAGTAGATTTCCTATTCGTTATTGCTACGTAACAGTTCTCTTGCACATTTCATCTCACCAGCTGCATTTCTAATTGCATTTTTGCAATTTTTATTCCAGAAGAGAAAGATCTCTCTCAGAGCCTGTGAGTGGGGGTTAAGGCACAGGGCAGGTCACTTGCTCTTGCGCTCTTTTGTGCTCTCTCTCTCTCACACACACACATACAGCAACGTGCAGCATACACACACACCCTGCTTTTAGTCTGTGTGTAGTGGCAGAGAGAATGAAATGTTGAAAAGTGTGGTTATATTTCACTAGAGTCAAAGCTGACAATGCTTGTTGCAACAAGGGCAGAAATACAAGCAATCTGTCAACATCTAGCAAAAGTCCATCACATGCATTCAGAAAAATACAGTTTTCGACTGCTGAGCTCGTTGTTTCTGTCGTTGCCCCAAGTATGTTATGTATGCTAGTGGTATAGAGCCTGCACATGAAGTTAACTAAATTATACCAATATGGGTTAGCGATCAAAAGTAACCGATAGCCAACAGATTGAATTTATGAACGCACCTTTAACAGTCTGAAATGGTCAGATCATCATCTGTTCAGAAATTCACAGTGTCAGTTTCAGATCACAAATTTAGTGATTTGGACAGACTAAGGTTGCCACACAGTAAAATTTACTGTCATAGAAAAAGTTCTACAAGTTATTACAGTTGTTTTACACTTCCATCATTACAAAATCAGTCTATAATAGGGAATTGTTCACAACGTTGATGTTTCTTTTGCTGTAAAAACTTATTTTGCATTTCAGCAATCACTTTAAAATCTGCAAGAGTGACTTGTTCAAAACAATGCTGTTACAGTTTGCAACTCAAATAATTTGTATACATTATCTATGAAAAAATAGAGCAAATCCTTAATTCTGTTCTTGATTTGTTTCTTAAATAAAAAGTACCGAAAAGAGTACTTTTAAAGTACTGGATCGATAAGCAGTTTTGGTAAAAGTAGTAGTACAGTTAAAATCTTAATGATATCCATCCCCCTTGATGTATATAATTTTCTTGTAATTTTCAGAGCATAACAACATTCCCATAACAGTGATTTGTAAGTGTGGTGGGAAGTACTCATAACACACAAGAGTTAGTGATTAAAAAATACCTTTAGCTTTGGGTTGCTGAGAAACACAGCTAGGTTCTTGTTCAGAACACCAACAAAAATATCAGTGCTGCAGTGTCCCAGATTCCTTCATCCCTCTGTGGGAATATCATCACGCTTGTGCTTGTGTAGCAGGTATTAAAAGTAGCAATCACTTTTGCACTTTTGGCCATGGTTTTCTAGAGATGTAACACCACATTCAGTCACTAGAGGGTACTGCAGTTTAATTCTTTAATTGTCTCCATTGCTTCTCTTCATCAGCCAGTCCCTCAGTGCTCAGTGCCAGACTGTGGTGTCTGCGATGCTCTTCAGCACCCTCCTGTGGCTCTTCCTGATCTTTACCATGCGCCTCTGCCTCAAGCAGCTGCTTTCCTACCACCGCTGGATGTTTGAGCAGCACGGGAAGATGTCTAACACTACCAAAGTTTGGATGGTCGGTACTCCTCTGAACAACATGACGGGTGTCTTTTTGCTGCTGTCGTTTGTTTGGTGATAATTTCCTGCTTTTGTCCACTGCTGTGTCAGGCTCTGGTGCGGATCTTCTCAGGCAGACAGCCCATGCTTTACAGCTACCAGGGTGCTCTCCCTAACCTGCCTGTCCCTGCCATCAAAGATACCATCAAGAGGGTGAGTTGACAGGAAACAGTCACAGCTCTCGCACTTTCCCAAATTTCCAAGGACTTTATTGAGATCAGAAAAAAAGTGTCAGACACTCTCTAACGTCCATTGTTTAAGTATTCTCTGTAATTTTCTCAGATATATATATATATAGTACTGTGTAAAAGTCTTGGGAAGTCAAAAGAAATGTTTAAAGCCATTTATCTGTGTAGTAAATGTACTTTTGCTCAGAACAAAAAAATAAATAACACAATTTAGCATTACTACATATGCAAATTAAGAGTAACAACAAAAATTGCGAAGAATTTCTTCTGTTCTCCAGACAGTTACTGATAGCTAGTTGGGTGGCTGGATGAACACCACTTCAGTTCCTAAACTTCTCCTCAGGAGCATCTCAGCCATTCCATGTATTTGTTAAATTTCAGCACCAGCTCACTTAATTTATTTAGTTGAAAAAGTCAATGAGATATTTATGAGCTATATGAAGTGTGCTAGTGGTCGAGGCAAAAAATACATGGATGTGTTGGATGGTTGTTGCAAACATTGAGGTTTTGAAATGGCTAAGCTAACACAGTTTGACATACGGACTTATGAACAGGCTGCCTTAAAGCCTATTATATAAAAAATTTGGGTTTGCTACAATGGTCACTAATAACGAACACACAAACTAGTTTCTGATGTTCATGAAAACATTGTGCAACTTCAGCAGTTCATTGGCTTGAGCTACAGTGCAGAACTGTATGTAGTCACTTATTACTGTATAATTATTATTACGATGTACTGTATTATTGTTCTGACTTAAAGACAGACCAAGGGAATGGATCTCATTTGTAACTTGGGGACTGCCTGTACTTTGACCTTATAACATGACTCAAATATGTAGGTCTCTTAACTGCACCAGTACAGTCAATTGAAACACTTGAAGCATTATTTAGAAATTTAGCTCAGAAATATCTAAATATGTATTAATGTGTAAATAGACTACACTGTACAATACACACACACACACACACTCCCAACATTTGACTATTAACATCAGTAAGGTGTGGAATCGCTCCGTATAAATATAAATTTGCTGGACACATATTTTATTCACCTTAGTAAACTTCTTTCACGTACATATACATCTCTCTCTCTCACACCCACACACACAAATTAATTTGATAGCAAGAGAGCGAGCATATTTATAAATAGTGGTACCTTGGTTTACGAGGATAATTCGTTCCGGAAACATGCTTGTAATCCAAAGCACTTGTATATCAAAGCGATTTTTCCCATTAGAAATAATGGAAACTCATATAATCCGTTCCACAACTCAAAAATATTCATATAAAAATTATTAATGCAAAATATAAAGTAAAAATACATAAAACAAATTAACCTGCACTTTACCTTTGAAAAGAA